AATTCCACATACATGCTAGACAGGCCAGGACTGATACAAAAGCAATCACGACACTATGTACTGACTAATAATGAGTTATACTGTAGTGCATCATGTTATATTTAAAAGCTGTACTTTAGCTATTAGCGGTGGCTTGTGGTCAAAGTAGCCATTCATTTTACTTGAATCTCTGCCCTTCCTAACTTTTCCCCTCCATCTATTTTCTTACCACTCTCTTTTTGGGATTTCTGTCCCTCCTCCTGCACTTCTCCAAGACTAGTGCTAAGAACAGCAGTTGTTTGTGACGCGAGGGTTTGTTTGTTTTTTGTTTTTTTACTAGTTGTTGCTGTTGACAGTGTAGCTGCTAACATGCCGGCTAATTTGACTCATGTTGTTGCATTTTTGTTTGTCTTTCTTTTTGCCTCTCAGCTTTTCAGCTCCACCTTTCGTTTCGCTGTCTTTATCAACCACGTCTTCCACAATAAAATCTCTTATACAAGGTGCGCGGGCGCACAGGGAACGCTGGCAGGGGAGGGAACAGTTTGAAATTAAGATATTTGATTGGGCAATCCAGTGTCAATAATGAAAATGCACCAATGTGCTGCTGTAAGTGTTTGAAGGCCCGGTGCACAGCGGCCCTACGACCTGTTGCCTGTATAAACATATCGACCAAAGACAAACAAACAAAGAACAGTTATATTGACCCACCAGGCAAATGCGCGGTATGCCAAATTACCAGTCCAGCCTTGATGATAGACATTCAATAAATACTAACAAACACTAATAGATACTTGTAAATACACAGTATTGCCAAAAAACTACTAAAAAGCAATTTAAAAAAACATTAAAAAATAAACAGGTTGAACTTGCCTTAGTGTAAAAACAACAACCCATCCTTCATTTTTAAGTCAAATATTGAGGGTGTGTTTGCATGTATAAGGATGTGTTTGCCTATGCACCTGCGTTCTTAGAAATGTGAATTCACTGCAGTCTTTTCACAGTAAACTGTTAAGATGTGTTTGGTAACTAAATGATAATCGCTGCAACACACAAGCCTAAACAAGTGTGTCTTTAACACTCCCATAATTAAAAATCAACTTTGAGGCACTCAACCAAAAACACTGCTGGACAATGAAATACACAAGGTGTCCCTGTGAGCACTGGAATCAGTTACTAAATCCTAAAAAAGAGATAGACACTGAAGACGCTGTGACCTGCTGACCCCCGCAGTGACCCAGCTATGCATCACAGCGGTGATACCCTGCAGAGTCACAACAAGGAACCTGCGTTGGAGCTTTTGTTACCATCTCTAGTCCTCGGGAGAAGATTCAGTGCAGTGCTTCTTCAAGTGTTTTGAATATGCATAGAATGAGTTTCATAAAAATGATGGCAAACAAAGAGAAGAGTGACTCAGTAATTGGACTGGACTCAATCAGCCCATGTGAAGAGCCTTGTGAAACCAGTGATGCCCATGTTTAAAATCAATTAGATTTGGCTTACACAAATATTTATTATCCATTTCTGTGTCAGGAAAGAAAAGAAATCTTCACCGTAAATGAAAATATTATTTTCAGGCCTTTTAGTTTTTCATTATTCTGGTTTTGAATGCTTCGGAAAAGTCAGATTTCATGTGGCATGACAGATAAACTGCCTGATACCAGCCTACAGACAAAAGGTCAGAAACACCTGATGAAGGTTTTTCTAAATGCTAGTACTAACCAATGGTATGCTTTTTTATTGCTTAAGTTATACAAAAGTCACTCTTGTCTTAATTGACACATCTCAAATCAAACTTTTCCTTACTTTCTCTGTGACAAAGAGCATGCCTTTCTTCCTCCTCTATCCCGGTATCGGGATGGATGACAGCTTAGGAAAGATTTGTCTGGACTCAATCAGCCCATGTAAAGAGCCCTGTCCCCGATGCTGACCTATTCACGTAGGACCCCATTCTCTTTATGTGTGGCTTTCTAATCCAGACCAAACCTATTAACTGGCATTCCAGCAAACAGGAAGGGATGAATTGACAGTTTGTATTCAAATCGGTGCGTCTGGCACTGGGCCCTTCACTGGAGAATGCTATGCAAATGCAGGTGGAAATTCCCCATATACACCAGTGATTCCCACCCTTTTTTGTGTCAGGTTTCAGCATGTGTTCGGTACTGTTTTTCCAGTACCTCTTAAAAGTAATACTGTATTTAGTTAACTCTTTTACTTTCGTTATTATTATTATTATCTGTTACTTTGTAGCATTACAATTAATCGGCCATTCCCTGATTGAAAATGTATCCATTACTTTCAGCTGTTTCTTAACTTTCAGACATATACCATGTATTCATTTTCTTTATGTATAACCTACAGAGGTTTTCCATTTTTAATCTGATTTTTTTGTTTCAGACTCTTAGGCTGTGAATCATTCTTATACCTGTTTAATTGCCTCCGAATCTCTCAAATAGAAAGAGATATGAGGAATTTAACCCCGTTAAATTCTACATATTTATGAATCTTATGTAATTATGCTTAATTTTAATTCTTCTAATACTTCTGTGGTTTTTGAGTGAAACCGCTAGGTGGGGATAAACCTCCAGGGAAGGTCACCGACAGTGTAAGAAAAAGACTGACCCAAATTGAAGCAGGTGTGCGACGAAGATTTGATGTTCACCGTGTTTAGGAGTGCCATCTGACCTAGAAAAACAAACAAAGAAACTCATTCAAATATTTTTGACTGCAGAAATTACACATTTGTGCGGTAAGTTTGTCACACGGGCGAATTATTTATTTGAAACAAAGCAAAAACGAGCAGAGCGTCCTTTTTTATTCTAATTTTTACAGCAACCTGATTAAAAGAGCGTCATCAGCTTTGTTGCCTGGACATTTAAGGTTAACTTGTGGAGTGGTGTGATGTGAGTGGGGGTCAATGTGAAAACGCCCAGTAGCGCCCATTAAAAGTGAATGGATTTTAATTGCAGGAAAACTGAGTTGTTTCCAGCTCTGCTGCTTCTGTAACTTTCAGGTGACACAACTGTTGGATCAAATCATCTTTAATCTGCGCATTAGTGCGAAACTCCTTACAATCCGTGTCAAAGTTCACGCTTTGTCACATGATGGATCCTAAAGTTGATTCTTTGGTTGACTTGTTGATATTTTTCTTCTGCTTGAGGGAGATATTGAGGCATTTTCCAGCAGCTGGGGGTGTACGTGATTGCCCCTGTTTAAGGTGTGAATGTTCGACCCAACTACAACACTTAGCAGCTTGTAAGCGCCAGAAACCCCACAAATGGTGTTGAAACCCCCCCGCTCCCCGTATTTCCTCACATGCTAAGCAGCTTCTCTTTTTCTTGGGATGGAAAAGTCTCCAGCTTCCCGATGGGGGTTCTTCTAATCCAACTTGTTTTCACTGTCTTGCTGGGAAGCAAGAGTTTCAACATTAGCACTACGTTAAGTTGAACAAAAGAGGCGCATACCCGAAAATAGTCTTTTCAGCGCTGAATGGCATGCTCAACACTCCAGAGGGAGACCCCACTGTGGAAAAACACCCCCGTCGACTGCATTATCAAACGCGTTATCAAACAACACAAAACAATGACGACTTCAAATATTCTGCACCTACTAATCAGCTAATCAGCGTAGTTTATGCTTTTTTCTTCATTTTTTTTCTTTTTCTTTTTAGAAATAGCTTTCATGGGAATAGTTTCTCCTCTGGAATTAAAAGCCAAATCAAATACACATGGCTAATTTGATTTTAGTTTCTCACAATTAAAAACCATTCTAAAAGAATTCAGTAGGCAGTGAAGGCTGAATTGCTTATTTAATAATTAATAAAGAAATGAAGTACTGAAAGGGGCATCGTCAGTGTTTGTATATTAGCCCTCTATTGTGTATATTGCTCATCTATAATTGTTGATTGCATCCGAGGTTAAATCGAAAATATTTGTACCCACCCTACCCCCACAAGTTTCACCGTTTACATCTAAGCCCAAGTAAAAGCTTTAGTGATATTAAAATTAAATAGACAAATAATTTAAAAAGTGTACGATAAGACTAAAATGTGTAATTGTGTAAAGCCAGACTTGTATTAATGTAGATGTGTTCCCCAAACATTTAAAGTCTCCATCCACGAATCTTGTAAACAGAGATTTTAAAGTAGTTGTGGAATCACTACGTTGCATGTCGGCGTGTTGATAAGGTATCGTATGGGTGGTTTACAGTTTTGCCCTGTCTTTCTCTCCCCTCTTCGCACACAGACCCAGCCCAGCCCCCAGGGCCGATCAGTCATTCTGCTTTCAGATAACGCATCCCCCCGATTACGCAGCGGGATTTACATGAAACTGTTAATTGTTTGCTCTTCAAATAGTCAGCCTGGAGCCAGCAGTCTGCCAGAAGTTAAGGACCGACTCTTTGACCTCCTCCCCCTCTACGTGCAGAGCGATATTCCTCCCCTGACTGATCAGCATGACAAAGCATTGGCCGGGGCAGAGTCTCTTGGCACCGATCGCTTCATCCCACCTAGGAGAACTTCTCGACCATCAACTTGACTTCCACAGAAATGAGCAGCAGAGTTTTTCTCCCAGCGGCGTAGCGCCGTGGAGCTCACCGGCCCAATATTGGCCTTACCTCACGGATCCGATGCCCCCCCAGCAGCTGCCGCGCTCGGAGGAACCAACGGAGCGCCCCGGACACCTCACCGGCGCCACGGGATTCATGGATAAAGAGGAAGCGCCTGGATCTTTAAACCCGAATGATCAAGATGGACAGTTTAAGCAGGATGAAACGCAGGACATGTGGAAAAGTGAACGGGAGAAAAGAAATGCCGGCAATGGGAAGAAAAAGAACTACCAGAGGTATCCAAAACCTCCGTATTCCTATCTTGCAATGATCGCTATGGTCATCCAGAGGTCTCCAGAGAAGAAGCTGACGTTAGCGGAGGTAATGATAAAACTAATGCTTTTATGTGTTAACTGTGTAAATGCTGCCGGAGTTTGGCATTTGTGAGTAGACGACGCGCGCGGTGTTTTACGCACGGTGCCGCTTATGATCGTCACTTATTTCATCAGCAGAAGCAAATCCATCACTGCGTCGTGTATTTAGAGTAGACTCCATTAGAGTTTTGTGCGAAATTTCTACAATCTGTCTGAGAAGATCGTTTACAGTTCCTAAAGTGACACTAAACAGCCACATCGTCGTGACACTTGAGTGACTTCTACCCGTTCCCTTCTTGGTTTGCTGAGATAAGGCTGGACTGCAGTGGAACCAGACGCAGATCTGTATCAGAAACAGTGATAAGATATACAGTACATTCCAATATTAGGCTTCAAATGGGGGCTCCATTCACTTTTTGTACCAGATGGAAAACGTATTTTCAATTTGTTTCAATTTTAAGTTCAATGAGTATAAAAATCCAAATCCTTCGTTGAAATTTGTAGTTTCACCGAGCTGTTTTTACGCAAGCATGGATTGCAGTTAATATAGTGACCATATAACGAAAATCTGTGATGCTGGTGTGTGTGTGTTGGTTCAGACTTTAATGCTGATATTTGTTTAACTTTTAGATCCTCAAGGAGATCAGTACCCTCTTTCCATTTTTCAAAGGAAACTACAAAGGCTGGCGAGATTCTGTGCGACACAACCTTTCCTCATATGACTGCTTTGTTAAGGTTTGTATGGTAAAATGTTATGTAATGATCATTAAACAGAGAAAAAAAACTAAAAAACAACCTACTCCTGTAGAAATACACCACTGGAGTCTTTCTATTAAAACCTAGAACCCACTTTTAATCACTTGTGTTGTGATAATTATTAGGTTGCCAGTCCTGTCAGACTAGGTTGTCCAGGCAAGCACTAATATTTCTGTCCATCCTTCCTCCACCTTGTAGGTATTGAAAGACCCAGGTAAGCCACAGGGCAAAGGCAATTTCTGGGCAGTGGAGCTGAGCCGCATTCCTCTGGAGCTTCTCAAGAGGCAGAACACGGCCGTGTCCCGCCAGGATGAAACCATCTTTGCTCAGGATCTGGCTCCTTACATCATGCAGGGACACAAGCCTGAGTCTGAGGCGCCCCCTGAACCTGTGACCTCGCTCCCTCCCACATCTTCTGGAAACTCTTTCCCACCGCAGGATGACTTGTACAGACCTAAGCTGGATTCGTCCTTCGCGATCGACTCCCTGCTACACAGCCTGAGGCCAATCAGTGCCTCTGGGGATTTAGATATGGCTTCAGGGGACTGCTGGGGTGAGGTGACTCGGGCTCGGCCTTCACCGGCTCCGCAACATCGTTACACCTCCTCTGCTCGGAGTGCCTCTGCCAGCTCTGCAAGCCCAGCCTCCACGTCCTCCTCTTCCTCGTCTTCATCTGATGAAGAGTGGAAAGGAGTAACTGGGAAGCGTGTTCCTCCTGATGTGGAAGCAGGGGGAGATATTTGTAGGCCACCACTGCAGAAATCAGCCAGACAGGAAACTGTACCACCTCCATGGGAGCTCCCCACCTCCTACGCTAAATATGCACCCCCTAATGTCGTTGCCCCACCTAGCATGCGTTTCAACGGGGGTCCTCTCATGCCCCTGCACAGCGGGCTACCCATCTACGGCTATGGTAGCTCTCCCATGACACAAAGTCACTTCTTGGGCCATACATACTGGCCCATCCTCCCCACTAGACAAGTTTCAGTGAGAGCCCCTCCTTTACTCATGGACCTGGACAACATGTTGCAATCTGTGCCTCCAAATAAGAGCGTGTTTGATGTGCTGGTACCAGCCAGTCAAAACTCTCACCCACACTATCAGCAGCCCGGTCAGTACTCTTTGCAGAACGGGGCTCCTCTCAACCGGTACCATCAATACTGAGTATTACTGTCACTCAAACAGGATACAAAACCACAATGACAAACAACTGGATGCACACCAAGATCCATAAAGGAACTATATTTTGTTTGCCACTTCCACAAACTCAAGAAATACTACAATAAATGTAAAAAACAAAACTCACTGAGCTGTAGACAATGTTATCAATTGACTCAGAGTTTTATCAGGGGGAGATGAAAGTGTTTTTATGTTGCAATAAAAAAAAAAAAAGAAACAGTGTATGGAGTATTACATGGCTTCACTGAAAGAAAACCTTTTATAATAACTGTACAACAAAACGAGTATCTACCTCAGTCTTTCAGTGAAACTGTGTAAAGTCATTGCACTGCACCTATAGTTTGCACTGTTTCTTTATTTGCATAAACAAGCTTCTTTTTTTAACCTTTATCATCATTTTTTGAATGTTTTCTACCTATTGTGACTACTGAATGTATTACACATACAAAGCCACAAAGAACTGGACTACAAGGCCTATGCAGTAAATATGAGCTAAAGACTGACACTGTAGAGTTAGTAAATGAAGACATTGCATCTTTGTCTTTATGGTGCGACAGTGCACAGATCAGTGCCTACATCTAAATTATGATAGATACCAAGAGATACCATTTGTTCATGTACGTCTGTGATGCTTCTATTGATGGTGGCATTGGCCTTGTTTACTCTTTTTTTTTCTGTCATTGTGTGTAAGGGGAAAGGAAATCTGTACTGGGAAGAAAACAAAAGATTTCTGGAGACAGTGTAATTTTTGTAATATCTTTGTTTTAGTCTGAACTCAGTTCAAGTGATATAATCTGAGAATCTGACAGCTTGTCATGACACTGGAGACTATTTTTCACATCCCGACAGCCAAAACGTACCTCAAACTGAATCATTTCCTGCAGAATTTGCACTGCTGGTTATTTTGCACTATTTTAATGCCATTACAATCATCTTTTATAGGAAGCTGCTTTTAAAAGTCTCCTTACCTTGACAAGTGAATGTTTTGTTAGTTTTCTGACATTTTACTGTGATTTTTCTTACAATTTCTTTTTTTACAGTACTGAGTAGGTCAGCTCAAAAGTTTTGGGTATCCAAAGAATGTTCTGGAGTTTAACAGGGTATGTAAATAAAATGTTTATATTAACAGTGCTGTTCAGTGTTTTGTGAGGCTGTATAACAATTACGCTGTTAAGTGCAAAATCCTGCTAACCTTACATGAATATGCCGTATTGTGGTTGCACTATTTATGTTTATTTACACTCTGCAGCCACTTTATTAGGTACACCTTATTAGCAGTGGGTGGGACCCCACGTTGTGTTTTGAGTTTCCTTCAATTCAATAAGGAACTGGAAACATTTCTCCAGAGATTTTTATCCATATTGACATGAAGCTAATCACACAGTTGTAGATTTGTCAGCTGCACATCCATGATGCAAATCTCCTATTCCACTACATCCCAAATATGCTCAGTTTGACTGAGATCTAGTTACTGTCCAGGTCATCTGAGGACATTGGGTAGGCTGTGGCATTTAAACAATTCTCCGTTCATATCTGGGTGACTAAAAGAAATATCATCCACATTATTAGATGACCAGCACCAGCCTGAACTGTTGATACAAGACAGGATGGATCCATGCTTTTAAGTTTTGTTTTATTTTAATCCAAGATTCCAACTCTGACATCCAAATGTTGCAGCAGAAATCAAGCCTCATCAAATCAAACATTCTTACAATCTTCTATTGTACAATTTTGGTGATCCTTTGCAAATTGTATCCTCAATTTCCCATTCTTACCTGACAGGAGTGGCACCTGGTGTGGTACTCATCTGCCGTTTCTCATCTGCTTTAAGGATCAGCAGTTTTTGTACCCAGAGATGCTCTTCTGCATACCCTGGATGTAATGAGTAGTTATTCAGTAACTGTTTTTTTCCCCCTTTCCTGCCACTGACTTGATATTTCCCCTGTTTTTGGACTACTGTGCAAACCCTAGAGATGGTTGTGTGGGAAAATCCCAGTGGATCGGCAGTTTCTAAAATACTCAGACAAGCCAGTCTGGGACCAACCGTGGAGTGATCAAAGTCAATTAAATTAGTCAATTAAGTCTAATCTTTCTAACTTCTGCAGGTCATTTTGACCATGTCTATATAAATAAATAAACTGAGTTGCTGCTGTGTGATTAGCAGATTTGTATTAATGAAAAGTTCAATAGGTGTACCTAATGAAGTGGCTGGTAAGCATGTTTTCTTTATATGCAGGATCACTGGTTTTAGACGATGGTTTCTGTTACTTTAAAAAAAAAATTCAGAACTTTTGTATTTTGAGAATCAAAATTTTTAAATATAAAGCTTAGGCTAGTCACGTGAAAATAACAAGCTATTTTTCTTCATGATTATTTTGTGAATAAATCTTCTGATGCCCTTTATATATAAAGCAGCGGTGTAGCTGGTCTGCTACAAGCCAACCTATTTAACCTCAGGTATTTTGTGTCACCTCAAAATAAAAAGAACAGCAGAATGTCTTCTGAGTGTTACATCATCACAAATTACACTGAATTTACATATGCGAATACCATATGACTGATGGATGAGGCTTGTTTGAATGTATTGTTATGTAAGTGAAGGTTGTAAAAATGACATTATTGAAATATTTAAATAAATTAACTTGAAATTCCTACTTGAAATTGCATGGGAGTAAAAGAAAAAACACTTAAGTACCTCACGCTCAGCCTCGTGATTTAAAATCTTTTTATATTGTTTTTGTTATTTTTGTGCTATAAGCTGTCCTTGACTGTTTTGAAACTGCCAAGAAATTAATTTGTCATTATTATTACTTTATTTACTATATGAGAAACAAATGTATCAATTGAAAAACTAAATGGCAATGCACTTAAATATTTGCAATCAATCAGCTTTTGGGGATTTGCAATGAAATATTTTTTTCTTGCATGTGTCTTTGAGCTTCTCCAATCTTTTTTATGCAAACAGTTTTTTTGTGGGTATTTTTGGTAACAGACTTTTTTTTTAAGCTGTTCTAGTGACACCAACACATCTGACTGCTTTGACTGGTGTGACGGAGTGTGAGTGTAACATTTATGTGTCTTTAAATACTCCTTTTCCCCCCTTTCCTTTGTATTTTGTGAATCTAGTTTCTCTCATTTCTTTTGATCTTTAGTACTTTCCTAAAGTTAATACTGATAATAAGCCAGTGGATAAGGTGAAAAGACAGAGTGGGCCAAGCAGCAGCAGCAGAGAGATTGTTTTATCACAGGAACTGTAATCCAGAAACAAGGAAGCTTTCTTTGATCCACAGTCCACGGCCTCCATAATGGGAGTTTCTAGCACAGCTATATCCACGCACGCACGCACGCGCACACACACACACACACACACACACACACAGCTGATTTGCATCAATCGTCCAGCAGCCGTCAGCCTCCTGCTGCCTCCCCTGCAGTGACCACTATCTCTTTATCTGCTGCATACGCATGCCTGCACTCCCTCACTATCCTTCCTGCTCTGCTCCACGATCATTCCTGACCCAGAGATGGGAGGAGGGGACAACACTTTAAACAGGGACAAGCCCCCACCCCGCACCAACACATTCAACAATCCTGGGATTTTTTTTGTGGCATGTCAGAAGTCATCCTAATCAAACTATTTTCATTAACTATCCATGATCCAGGTCAAATAATTTGAGCCTGCACGTGCCTGGATCACAATTCAGTTTAGTTTCAATGCATTTGAAGCTTAAACTGTCCTCATGAGTGAAGTTTGTGCGACACAATGTCGTGTCATTTGAAATTTTGAGTAAATCTGTGTGTGTGTGTGACTGCTATGGTGCAAAAAAAAATCTTTTTAGTAGAAATAGAGTTTATTTGTCTGATTTGTTAGGACAAGAAAAACATCTTGAAATCGATATTAGACAAAAAAAGACTCTTTGAGGTCTAAATTAATGCTTTTTGAAAAAGCATCAAATGGAACTAAACATTAAAACTACTGAGTAGATTCAGTATAAGAACAGAGCGATGGATATGCGACATATAACAACTGTATGTCCGTTACAAAGGTCCTTTGATGGCATATTTAGTCTGGTGAGGACAGACCCAGCCTGAGTTATTAGTATTTAGCCAACTTCCCTGCAAATGTAAGCACAGTCTGTCTGTGTAACACGCCACATGTGCTGCATCTTTTAAACACGGACACTGCAAAAAAAAAAAAAAATCTTTTAATGGTGTTCAAGTAAAAATCTGAAATTCTGACAGCCTGCATGTAGGCTTGAAATCCTTTTTACTCAGTATGTGTCTCGCAAATATTTTGCAGTACAATGACAAAACTGTCTTAACTCTTCCTCCTTTTCTCACTTCTTTTCACACTCCCTCTTGTGCCATTCTGTATTCAAAGATGCTACCCCTCTCGGAGAATGTCTCATTCAAGCGCCTTCGCTTGGTCTGAGGCCTATTGTTTGCTTCCTCTTCTTTTCCATATCCACCTCCTCCAGGGGTGTAGAGGCAGAACATGTCCTGTTTGGGGACACACACAAACACAAAAGCTGTGATCAAGCAACAGAAGTACCACAAAACGAAGCTCCTCTAGGTGTTACTTAAGGCTTGGTTTCCATGTTCATACCCAACCCAAGCAATGATTTTGGTCTTCATGGCCAGTGTGCCATTTCATGTTAAAGTAAAGTAATGCATTATTAGGGGTGTAACAGGTGGGCGCAATTATTTTGTTCTTCAGCCTACAGTTGGAAACAAAGGCTTTCTAAGATAGGGGTGTCAGAATATGCCTTACAAAGACTCCAATCCAGCCCACTGGACTGCTTTGGAAAAAATGCGGAGGGCATAAATTCTGGAGTTTAAACTGTATTTTTAAGTCAGGAGTCTCCATAGTGTAGAAAAACGACATACTGTTGTAACTGCAGTTGTTTTTCTTATGTTAAGATATCTCCAGGATTCAATGTGCAGTTGTTTCTGTGCAGTGACAAATAGGGAATGTTCACTGGTCTGGACCACTTAACACTAAAGTGGGCTGTACGTGACCCATGATGTAATATAGGTTTGACATCTCTGCTCTGACTGGACAGATGTTCAGTTTCTCTGGTGCATACAATTTGTTTATCAGCACATTTTTGATTCACCAACGTTAGCTTGTTATTTAATATCAAAGTGAATTATAATTTAAGATAGCTGCGCAGTTCTGGCTTTAAATGCATCACTAATCTGCCTGCACTGCTTTCTCATGTTGTCATTTCTTTCCAGCCTTTTGTGAACCGAGTAGCTTCTTCTTTCATTCTGCCTTTCAGGCTCCCATTCATATGACCCACTTCCTCCCGATCTCCATCCGAGCCCTCCACCTGCTTCATTTCCACTTCCAAGAGGAAACTGGACTCTGGGTGTTCCTGTCCTACTTCCTTTAACTTGGAAGTGGCCAACCCTGCTAAACACAAGGCTTAAAAACCACCAAAACAATTGATGTTGCCTCCATGATAATAATTGATGGTTTTTCAACCACAATAAAGCCATGTCCTTAAGTTTAACCCATTTCAGTTCTGCCACTTTTATCTAAATTGCTCAGTGTCTTCCCCCTTCTTTCTTGTCTGTCTATCTTCCTTGCTTCAGTATCTAATGAAGGCAAAATGACCCCAAAATAATCTAAAAACTAATAAAAATCAAAATTGTAACAAGAGACAAATGTATTTTTCATGAGTTTACAGTAAACAAGAAGTAGGCTCATTTTCCTATAGAAATCAATAATTCAAGACACCTCAGATATAGATTTAGATTGCTTTTTGCAACCAGAGCCCACTGATGGCCGCTGGCTTCAACTTTCTGTTGTTTTAAGACTTGGATGCTACGTCCATCTTGTATATAGTTATTCTGGGCTGGCATTTTTTCTGTGTAGTGTCATTATAAGTACACTAAAGCACGACGGTGCTTCACACGTGCACAGCCTTACCCCGGGGTCAAGGCTGACACTGGTCTTGGCTCCCAGGTTGAGGACTCTGCCTTCAGCTCTGTGGAGGAGGTTCAGCCCTGCTACACCATCATCGCCCCCTGACCACCAACAAAAGATTACATTTTTTAAGATTAAGTAAGGAAAATGTGAGCATTTAGAC